AACCAAACCCTAATCTTGTCTTGAGTCCAAGAAGTCTTGTGAGAAAAGTCTTGATAAATGAGAGGGCAAATTTTGGGGTACAACACTTAGACTATGTCGGTATACCCCGCACAGTTTCCACAATGTATTGCTACTTACCTATAAGATATCCCAAATTCGGGTAGAGGATTAGAACAAGCCCAAACAAGGAACCAAAATGTAAAGCAAACAAATCAAACAATGAAATAAAGTAAAGGTGATCTAGCCCTAAGGTAACCCTACTTTTAACAAATTTCCCTAGCAGAGTCTCCAGTTCTGTGATACGATGGGAGAACTGACTTGAGTGTTTTGCGTTTTATCGCAAATGTTGCGGTTAGCAAGAGTCACCACCGACTTTTCTTCTATCCAAAAGGAAAGGCTGAAAAGAACAAGAAAGACCTTTTAGATTGTTTCTTGAGTTCGGGGGTAGATTATCAAAAGGGAAGGTATTAACACCCTTTTCATCCATAGTTATCTATGGGCCCTTAGTTGCTTGCTAGATCACTTGCTTTTGTTTGAAAATATGCTTTGTGTGGTTTTTGAAAGTATTTTAAAAGTGTTTTGAAGGTGTTGGTATTTGTTTTGAAAATAAGCAAGCAACTAAGAACAATCTACCTACTCAAAGTCTTAGTTCAATTCTTCCTTTCCTTTGATATTCCTATCTTACCATTGATTTGGTAAGAAGCCTTATCTTTGGATGTAAGGGGACGGGCGTGGGTCATCGTATAGCCATGATAGCAATGTTGTAAGATATCTTAGCATTTCTCTTTGAGGGACTAGGATCATTTTGAAAGGCAATATTGATAGCGTCATCGAGGGACTATGATCTTGTATTTTTGATTGGTTTTTTGCTAAGATATCCCACATGCATAACATTGCCATTTTTATAAGGCAACAAAGTGGAATTACCCTAAGGGTGCAAGTGTGCAAATGTGTTTGATTTACATGCATTATTTATCTTGAATTAGGGTTTGCTAACTTGTTGATTTTATCTTTCCATACAAACTCTAATTTACTAGCATTTATATAAGCGATAAATTGTGGAAAGTAAAATTACTAAGCTATTACATCATGAGGGGATGGGGTATACAAATTTACAAATGAGGATTTTGCAAGAAAATTAAACCTAATTATCTATTACAACCATATTGAATATGTACAAGAATTGAATAAATAATGCACAAAGGTAAATGAAAAAGAAATGATTTTGTTTGGTTTTTTAATGAAAGGGTTTTATCTTGACCTAATTAAAGAAAATGATTAATTAAAATTAAATAAAATTAACTTAAACTAATTAAGAAACGAAATTAACTTAAAAAGGATGTTTAGGGTTTTTTATGAAAAGGTTTTAAATTAATAAAAATAAAAATGAGAAAATTAATTAATTAAGAGAAACCTAAATTCTAAGTTAATTTTAATTAAGAAAATAAAATAATAATTAAACATAAATCTAAATATTAAATATTTAGGAAAAAGAAATTAATTTGTTTTAAGAAAATATTTTTGTTCTTTTGTCTTTATAAAGAAAATAAAATAAATAAGTGTAAAAATATAAACAAAATATTTTTGGATTTTTTAATAATAATAATAATAATAATAATAATAATAATAAAGAAAATATGAAATGAAAATAAAAATAAAAATGAAAAAAGGAAATGAAATAATAAAGAAAATAATGGGCCAGGAATGCAAAAGTAAACACGGGTTAGAAAAAGCAAAAATGGAAGGCCCATCTGTTTGGAGGCCCAGCGCTACAAGCTGAAACAAAAAAGAATGAAAAGAATGCTGAAAAATAAGAAAAAGTAACGCTGGGTGTTGAACCCATGACCTTTCATACACACACGCGTTATCTTTGCCACTAGGATGGTTGTACATCCGTTAACTTAAATGAAATAATAAATACATAATACAAAACAAGTTCCAGAAATAAACTTCATCTTCAACCTCCAGCCATGGATCCTGTAACTTCACCATTTCTCAACAAAAATGAAAGATGCAAACATGAAAGTTGCTCCATTTTTCCATACGAAGCCAACCATATAAATATCATAAGCTATAAATTAAAGATGAATGAGAATTTCTAAAAGTACCAAATTCTGACCTAAATATTTCAGAAAGTTCAAACTCAAAATTCTCCCTACTCAAGCAACATAAATGAAATCTATGGACATGCATAGTTTCACAACAATGATGTCTACATTTTATCTTCACAAATGCAAGCCTAACAATGCCTAAATGAGAAGATAGAAGTTCAAAGAATATACCTCAAAACTGAAAATTGTGAAATGAGTTTGAGCTTGATTCAAGGTGCTGCAATGATCAGGTTAGCTTCCTTGAGTCTCTAGGAAGCTAATGCAATGCTTAGCTTGAGTTGAGAGTGGCTGAAATGACCTGGAGAAGTCAAGTTGCAGACTCTGTTTTTTGGTTATGTAGGTTATGGTAAATGGTGTTACAATTATGGAATAAGGATGGAGATGAGTTGTATTTGATATGTAGGAGCTTTTGGAAGTGAAAGGCTAAGAAATGCACGAGGAAAGTGAGAGTTTGATATGTAAAGTCAGAATTTGCACAACAATGGTGTTTTGAGGTAATTTCTGGCTAGAGGGAGTTTTGGAGAGTTTCAGGGTGTTAATGCTCGTCCTCTAGCTCACAAATAATGATTCTATTTATAAGCAACAAGTTTGGAGACTTGTTGTTGATAAGAATTCAAAAACAAATGCTTAAGTTCAACATGTGATTTTTGAGAAATCCAAGTTTCAAAGTCTTGTGTACTTGCTAAGATAGAGTGGTTATGCTTTAAACAAGTTTATGACTTTGTAGATGGAGTGTGATCAGAGGGAACAAGTTAGAGGCTCAAGAATTGACTTTGTGCATAAAGCTTGCTTTTCAAGAATGACATTCTTCACTTTCTTCCCAAAATAGCAATGTGAATTGGATAAAGCTTAAACCACTTGGATTATAGCTCAAAAGTTTGTGTAATCCATTAATGATAGATAAATACACAAGTTATAAGGCCTACAAAGCAAGATTATGCAGCCTAACATTGAAATTGCATTATGTGTTCATCAAGAAATGACTTGTAATTCAAGAATGAAACCCTAACTTCTTGCCTTCGATTCTCCTTGATCAAGTATGATCTAAATGAGTTCTTGGACATTTTGGAAATCTTGTAACATACTATAAAACCTCTATGTTGTACATTTTTGAAAATTCATCTTTGAACTATGTGAAAAATTTCCATGAAGTTAGGTCAAAATCTTGCCTAAACTAGGGCAAAATTTCACTAAGTTTCCAAGTTTCATGAACATGTATTCACAAAATCATAACTTGAAATCCATGTATTTCTAGGATAAGTTGTGTTCTACAATGTTTTAGGTCTCATTTAGATATACAAATTTCATGTTGGAAATTTCTTTTGAATCATCTTGCATCATGGTGAAAATTTGGCTCAAAGTTGTAAAAAAATATGAATTTTCCAACACTTGGAAAAATTTCTAAGTTTAGAAATTTTGACTTTTCAAAATGAAATCTTGACTTTTTGATTTCTTGATGAACAAGTTTCATATTTTGACATGTTTTGATGAATTGTGATTTTTGATACTTGATTTTGGCTAAAAAGTTAAAGTTTGACTTTTCAGTGTACAATTGACTTTTTATTAGTTGAGTGAAATTTATCTATCAATCAATTGATCTTGAGCAATGTTTTGAGCCATGCCATTAGGTCAAAATGATGCACTTGAATACTTGAGATCATAACTTAAACCAATCAATCCTTTTCTAAGTCAAAAATCAGAAATTGCACCTTCTTAGTCAAAACCCTAATTTTGACCATTTTGCCCTTTTGATGATATGATCAAATTTATTGAGGAATTGTGATTCAAACTTGACCAAATGACATATATGAGTTCATAATATTGATATGGACCAAAAATTATGAAGTTTGACTGTAAATTGACCACATTTGACTTTTTCCCAAATATAACCGATTTTAGGTCAATTGATCAATTGACTGAGCAAAAATGTGATCCAAGACTTGAAACTTGACATGAGCAATCTTGAGGGTCCAAAATGATCCATGAAAATCATATGATGCATTAAAAGTTCATTTGTCCTTGTGCAATCTCAAACCCTAATTTTCAGTCATCAGTGCTTGAGGAGGAGTCTTGAGCTGATCAACCCTTGTGCAGTTTTGAACCAAAGGAGATCTTATGAGAGATTATTTGAGAAATGAGAGGGCAAATTTTTGGGTACAACCCTTGCCCATATCTCTTTGTTGATGCTCTTCTTTGACAAAGGATATCACCTAACACATGGTCTAATACTTAAGTCGAAAATTTTCTTGTCAACACCTTCATGAAGCAAGCAAAAGGTGTAGATGGTTAAGTTCGGTGACTCGACGTACGCAAGGAGCGTCTGATTTATCAACAAATAAGAACCCAACAATCTTGTATAAAGACCATGATGCATGTGTTATCCAGATGAAAGAATATTACATATAAAATATCACTTTTGAATGATTGTGATGTACTGACCATATAAAATGTTTTACGTTGATAATGCATAACAATTCATCAGAATGTTTGAATAAGGTAAAACGAATGAAGCAAAATGGAACGGATAATAATAAAATAAATATGTCATTCAATTATTTGAGTATTTCATAACGAAATAGAGTAATTTTTTCATTTAGCCGAATTCATAAGATAAAAAAAAAATGATAAAATGCATTTCATAAAATTTCACTCTATTCTATCCATTTTTAATTAAACCAAACTAGTATATAAATGGATTCGGCTCGGTTCTTACCCATTATGTTGCAACGAATAAAATAAGGTGGCACTACTAGTAAAGTTTAGTGAAGAGGGGGAGGAATTTAAAATCTGAAAAAGTTGAGCGACCTTTACTTTACCAACAACCGAAAAGGAAATTAATATAGTGATGAATTGAGAATTTAGTAGCGCGAGAGAGAAAGGAAGGGAGTGATGGAATGGGCAATGAGTGGTTCGTTGCTTGAGAATTTGAAGATAAACGATAATCCATGGCTTCCTCCTAAAACTTGGGAATCTCTACCCTCCGAAAGCGGTCTTGCTGCACGCTCCTCCTCCTCTTCTTCTTCTTCAAAATCATCATCAAATGAGACCCTCTCCACTCTTTCTGTAAGTCAAATTTCAACTCCTTTTTAACTCTCTTGTTTATTTTCATCCTAATAACTAATTTCAAAATCAATTTGGTTTCAGGAACAAAGTTTGGTGAGGTTGGCGACTAATGCTTTGCTAGGTATTAAATCATCTCTCATCACCATCCAAAACCTATCTCCCATTTTTTCTTCTCATCCTCCTCGCACTACTTTCCTCCATCTCTGGAACCGAGCCTCCACCACTCTTTCTTTGTCGAATATACTTCAATCCATTGCTTCCACTGGTTCTCTCGTTTTTCTTCTCCGTCACTTCGTTGATTATTTTACTAATACCCTAAATCAACACCCTTCCGACCCTCCCTATTCTCTTGTTAATCAAGCCTTTGCTGTGGCTGTCGGGAACGTCTTGGAAGGATACTTTTCTGGACTCGATACAGTACATGCATCTCTAATTTTCAGGCGTTCTTCCAAACATGTTGATTTCTCTACGTCTGCTTGTTTCAACAGTGTTGCGCATTCCCAAATTACACTGCTTGAGTTATTTCTGCACACTAAGGAACTCAGGGTGAAGATTGAATCTCTTGCAAGCATATGTAACCTACAAAACTGGGCTCATTGTGTTTCAGATACTGATTTTGAGGATCTCATTACTAAAGCTACTTCTCAATTTTCTAACTTCTCCAGAGGGGGGGACTTGTTAACTTTTTTGTATCAACAATTACAGGTCACACACCGTATTTGAGTGTCAACTTTCGTTTCATTTAAAACAAATATGTCCTGATCTTCACAGTTTTCTGAAATTTAGGTTGCTGATTCTGCTCACTGTGATTTGCTCAAGTTTCTTTTTCTTCAATCGTGTGAACCATATTGTGGATTCATTAGATCTTGGATTTTCAAAGCGGAAATCCATGATCCCTATAACGAGTTTATTGTTCAAAATATCGACTGTTTTTCTCCTAAGTCACATGTTGACTTCCCACACGTTCAAGCTGATAAATCTGGTGACTTCCCATCGTCAAGTATCAGGGTAACTCTTTTGTATGCTGATCTGCAAACTGTTTTTTTTCTTTCATATGTATAATATTGGACTATCGCCTTGTTAGATTGATTCTCATACTGGAGACTTTGTAATGTCAGTTGCGAGATGGAGTTCCCGTTCCTGGGTTTCTAAAGGAGTTATTGGTTCCACTTGTTAGAGCTGGTCAGCAGCTTCAAGTACTACTGAAATTACTTGAACTGTGCATTGACGTTGCTGCTGGAAAACATAGTTCGGATGACTTTCTACCCTGCTGGAGTGGCTTCTCAAGCAATAGTCTGCCTTATTTTTCTCCACTGACTTTCAGCAAAGATATTATAGAAAATATGGTACTTGCAAGAGAAAGCTACTATAAAAGGATGAATGAAAAAACTGAAAGCCTTTTGAGCAGCTTACACGTTAGATATCAGCAGGTATCATACTCCATAGTTTTGGTTTTTGTACAGTGCACTTTTCACTTCCATTTACTTTCAGTTACTTTGTGATAGCAATAAATACTCATACTTCATAGTTTTGGTTTCTTGCACAGTGCACTTTTTACTTCCATATACGTTCAGTTACTTTGTGTTTGTGATAGCAATAAATACTTTATTTCCAAAAGAAAAGAATGGAATTGCAAGGCCAAAAATTGCTAGCACCAGTGGAAGAAGAAATACAGAAAGGCATCCAATTTGTTTTTCTTTCAAAATCAGTAAGCAAATCCACTTAAAACGAATATATGTTGAACGCCATAAGGAAGAAAGTTCTTGGGTTACTTTCTAACTAAATGCATCCCATTATTTCTTTAAAACAATGTCTGTGCCAAGATCTTCCCTTTCCCCGCTTGTTTATGTCAAATGATATAAAAGAATCCTATAGTATTCGAGTCGTATCTTTAGAGTATCTTAGATTATGTCTTATGATTTCTTTTCACATTTCTTAGTTATTTTCATGGTTTGTTTCCTATTGGATTAGAATAATAATTAGTATTTGTTGAGATCCCACATCACTAGAGATATTAACTAAAATAGTCCTTACAAGGCTTATTCAATACTTCACCTTAGATGCAGTTTTTTTTCTTCCATTTTTTAATGCTATGATATGGGGAATAATATACATATTTCTTAACATCAAACATAATGTTTCTGCACAGCAGATATAGTTTAAATTTTATTGATATTCTTACTTTGTACTATGTCATTTATTGTGTATTTCTTTAAACTGGGTGAAACCGTAATTCTTGCCATCTGAATGTTGTGTAGTCTAGAGCTGAAATAGTTGTTGTTTTCTTCTAATTGTTCTATATTGCTTGTTACTTAGAAGTGCAACGGTTCTCAGATTCATGCATTGATTTTGTAGTAATAACATTTGTTTGCAGTTCGTCATGGTACTGCTCTATGTTCCAGAATAGATCACCATTATTTAAGATAAAATTTATGATGCAACGATCTTATATGAAATAAAATTGTCTCATCATGGTCCCATTCCCATCAATGATCTTGTTTTATCTTTATTTTGATCAACAATTAGTTTTTGGATGTGGCACTGAATGAAAAAGGAGCACAAGGAGTATACAATTGGGTTCATTAGGGACCAAAAAAATAGAGGTAGAAAGATCTAGATAAATAGAGTCTTACAACTAGAGGTAGAGGAAGACCTAGAAAAACTTGAAGAGAAATTATTAAGAAAGATCTCAAGATTAATGATTTGGATAGAAACATGGTCCTGGATGGAACATTATGGCGAAAGTTGATCCATGTAGCCGACCCCACTTAGTTGGATAAGGTTGGTTGTTGTTGTTATAGGGACCCAAAAAATGAGATGGAGAACAGAAAGAAACCTGATTTTCCTATTGTGAGTAGGTGCATGCTTCTTTATGTTTTCTTTTATTCTCATGTAAGGAGATTTTCCTTTTGCAGCTACCTATGCCTACTCCAGTTCCTTCTTTTGATAATGGTGGGGGGACTATAGACAAACTATGCCAGCTCATGTCAGAAGAGGAACCTATTGTCTGTCCAACAGCAGATAAAAGTTCTTCACAAATGTAATCTCTTACTTTCAACCTCTTCCTCCCACGCCTAGGAAAAATGTGTGTGCATGAAGATGCATGCCCTAATGAACATGTTTCTCTCATTCTCTACTTGGCATATTGGTCATTTATCCTTGCACCTTTATTTCCCTTTGTTATTTCTTCATTGATGTTTTGTAGAAATTCTCAGGGGATTTGATAACTTGGAATCGGATGTGTCAAGTACAGAAGACGAGTTCTCTTTGCTGGAAGATATCTATGGTTCATCTGAAACTTCATCCTTAACCAGCACTGAGGAGCAATTGGAGTCTGATCAGCTTAGTGGTTGGCCAATATCAGGGCAACAAAGTCATCTATCTACTTTAAAATTCTTGAAGATTAATACCTTAAGTAGTTCAATACAGAATTCCTGTCATCATGAAAAGTCAGGCAGTGACTCACATGGAATATATGATAAAATGGATGCCATCGATCATTTGGTGAATTCCTCCAATGAGGGAATGATATCAAGTGTGTTTGATACTCTAAATCCTGAGAGTTCAAGGTGCTCAAGTAAATTCAGTATTCTACAGAGAGGTAGCTGCATTGATAGTTATTCATCAATGGTTCAATTACTGAAAAAATCATTTGATGATGATAAAACTGTTGAGCAAAAGATGACAAAAAAGGGCTTGCAACCCCTGAATTATTCCCAGTTATGTCACATTGCCATTGGTGATAATTTGAGTGGGGAGACCTTGAGTGAGGATCAACCTGTTAATGATACACTAGCTTCATGTTTGCGTGCTTTTCAACCACTAAAAGCTGGCCATCAGTGCAATCTTCCTAGCATTAATCCCTTTAGTATGAACATAATGTTGACTAGAAATGTTTTGCTTCAACAGACAGGTATGAAAGGGGAAAAATGCAAAGTAGATCATGCACAAACTTTGCCATTCTTCAATTTTTCTACTGTAGAGGACCCTTATAAGGTTTATATGGACAAGTTACCCACCAATTCCATCTGTATAAGCACATCTTCGTATCCTTTGGATAGTTGTGCATCTACTCACGGTAATCAGAATAATGAATATGAAGAAAAAAATGGCCATAGGAATGAGGATGGGTTGGTCGATGTTCCCAAATATTGTTTTGATGCTTCACTGGATGTGGTAGACCATAAGCAGTATGTTTCAACAGATGCATCTGGTGGGAGCAGCTGGGAAAGACTACTTGGCAGTTTTAGGAAAACTGTTGATTGTGATGCTACTCAAAAGCAGAATTTGCTGTCAACATTTGAGATGCCACTTGATATTATAATTGACAAGTGCTTAGTTCAGGAAATCATGGTTCAGTATCCTCATCTTTATATTTATTCTGGTAGTCTAATTGAATGGTTTAGGTGTGCTGTTTTATATTTCACTCCCCTATAACTTTTATTTCTCAGCATGATACTTGATAGGTACCCAAACACTTGAGGAATCCTTCCTTTGAAGAAGAACCAAGCCACTTAAATACTGCACCAAACATCTCATACTATTTGATGTGGTAGAATGCAAATAATTCTAATTATTTTTATATTTTGAAATGGTAGAATGCTTCAGTGGTGCTTAATTTTTTTTCTTTCAAAAACAACTAGACTTTACCCCACTATGTGGGACAAGCTACATTAATTGTTTGATGCCATTTAGAACTTATGCACCATGTGTTTAGAATTTTTTTTGTGGAAGTTGATAGATGAAACGAAGTAGAATAAGTTTTATAAATATGTTACTGCATGAGATTATCAACATTTTCTCTTATTCAAATGGGTTGATTTTCTCAATGTATTTCTTTTGGAAAGAATTATGTAATAGCTTTGCATGTCCTTATCGATGCCAGATACAATTATGTCAGCAAATTAATCATCAACATGCTTGAGGAGGCATTTAAGCTGCAAGAGCATCTTTTAGCACTGCGGCGGTATCATTTTATGGAATTAGCAGATTGGGCAGATTTGTTTATCTTGTCACTATGGCGACATGTATTCCTAAATTATGATTAACAACGACTTGCATAATATTTCATAGCTTTGAGTTCTGACTATATTCTACTATACTGCACCTTTACTCATTGTCTGTTTTATTTGAAACCACAGAAGTGGTCTGTTACAGAAGCTAATGAGAGACTTCCAGAAATTCAAGACCTACTTGAATTGTCAATTCAGAAGTCTTCTTGCGAGCAAGACACCAATAAGGCTAGGTTGTTTGTGTACATGAAAGGACATGGGAAATTACCTCTTTCGGCATCTGCTATCGGTACATCTATACTACTACTGAAAGGGATTGCCCCTAGTTTGTATTGAATCTTTTCCTAGAGAACCAGTATGTTTTCACTACATTGAGAATAAAGTAGTAAATAATTTCAAATTAACTACATAGGATAGTATATGCCCCTCCTCCTACTTATTGGATGTTTTTAGTTCCCTATTAAAGATTCAGTCAGAAATTCAACAAAATTATCGAACTGTTAGAAAACATGAATATTTTTAAAATATGATTGACATTATACTGGAGTATTTTAGTTTATCTACTAGGATCAGTTTCTAATCTTATAATCTCCCCTATGATTAGTTTCCATATTACTTGGTTATTATTATGATTTGTTTTGTGATTTCCCTATTTATTTAGGATTAGGAGTCTTGTATACGTTTATAGGGGTTAATTTTTAGTCATTTGTATCAAGTTAGTTTAAAATTGATTATCAATCAAATTTCACCCTAACTATTTTTCTTATTCTTTTTACTAAAACCTTCAACAAGGACACTAATATAATACATAGAAGTTGATTTTCTGTTTGCTTGTTTGTTGTGACTCTTAGAATATTACTCTGCTCATCTGTACAAAATACGGCCATCTCCCAGTTGTTTTTATCAGTTTGTTTAGCGTGCTTCACAAGACACAAACGTTAGTTATAGAAGCAGTCACAACTAGTTTAGAAGCAGCCACAAACGTTAGTTTATGATGTGCTTCACAAGAATTTATATGATCACTATCCTGCACACAATAATTTATATAACTCTCAGTATGTTGTCGGTGTGTGTGTGTGTAGGATAGAACCATTGTGTGTGCAGGATAGTGATCATATAAATTCTTGTAACTTTATCTTCAATATCAATAATTTATTTTTAGAAATATAGAAAAGTTATCTTTACATTTTTTTTGGTTCTTTTACTTAACAGTGAATCAACAATTTTGATTAGCTATTTGTTTTTATTATTTTCGTGATCGCTGTCATTAATATTTTCATTTTCATATCAAGTTTGACAAGCTCAACCCACCCATCGGTGGACGGTAAAATTATGTATTTGATAAGGAAATTCTTAAATACTGGCAGGGGTCCGTTCTTTCGATTTCTTAGGACTGGGTTACCGCGTGGATTGGCCACTCTGTATTATTTTGACACCAGCTGCATTAAAAATATATGCTGATATATTCAGCTTTTTGATACAAGTGAAGCTTGCTTTATTTTCATTGACTGATGTGTGGTGCTCCTTAAAGGTGTGATTTCTTGCAGTATCTCCCTTTTCTTTTCCAGTTGTTATTGTTGTGTGTAACTGCATTTTTTTTTTATATCCTCTAAAAAAGTTTGAGTTTTTGTCTATGAAATTCATAATAAATGGGCTAACACTAACATTTAAAGTAGAAATTACAAATGACACATGCCAAAGTTATCACTTTGATGGATTAATCAATAAAACATACTACAGTACAACATTGCCATAATTTCTGAAATGAGCTTTCTGTAATTTTAACTACTTTGCACTTCTTTTAACTTTTAACTGTAAGATAAACAACTACTGGTATAAGTGTGTCTAGTTTTGGTTGAGTGTGTTATGTGCATTTATTTTGTTTTGTTCCATTTCTGAAATGACTTCTTTATATGTGGGTGCATTTGATAAAAAAAATTCGGGGTGTCACATGGGATGGGCTTGAGTGACTTTTGCCCGGGAAAGTTATCGTAACTTTCACCCAATATCAACCATTCTATTAATCCAATGTTTCATATGAAGCCACGTGGTTTTTTAGTTCTCGTTAAAAATTCTTATATTTCTTCTTTCTGCTTGTTGTCTCTATTTCCTCTCACTGCCATCGCCACCATCTGCTTGCCTCTCTGTTTCTTCTTCACTGCAATCACTACCGTATGTTTGTCTTCTATGTGTCCTCTTCGCCTCCATCGCCACCATCAGCTTGCCGTCTCTGTTTCCTCTTCACCGCCACAATAAAACATAACAATACATATAAAAGAAAAAAAATACATGATTAGGAAGTCAAGTCAGGTGGAGGAGTGACGGCGACGGTGACTTGCGAAGCGTTGGTCTGGGTGGTGGCAATTTGAACTATTGCAGAGTAGTAGTTTTCCATTGATAAAAAAATGAATTTTTTTTGGCAGAAACACATATTTTATTGTTAATTGATTTAATAAAAAAGAAAATACACGTGATTTAATGTGCTAGGTGTGATTCATCAAACCACACAGAATTTGTGAAAGGCACGGTGACTTTCCCGCGTGAAAGTCACCTAAGCCTGATCCGTGTCACATAAAGGAATTATCGGCAGGAAATTTCCAATTTAAAACTATTGACCACTTATCAGTTAAAGATTTCCAAAGAGTAGTCGAGGAGTAACTATTTATTGGTTATTGCTTTAAATTTTTTCATATATTTGGCCTAATTCCAACTTAACTCCAAACACTAGCTAAAGGGGTGAGGATTCTCAATGTCTTATAAGGACTACTTTGCTCGTATCTTTTAGTTGAGGTGTTTTTTCAAGTTTTCTGTACTCCCCGTCATGCATAGGATTAGTCATTTGGAGTGTTAGTTCTGCAATTTTGGCCATACCATATCTTGGATTGGCTCTAATACCATCTCAAAATTTGGACCAAGCCTAACTCAACCCCAAAAATTAACTTTAGGGACGAGTATTGCTCAAGTCTTATACAAACTCTTTTGGGCATATCTCTGCTCAATGTCGGATCTTTAACAATTTTTATCTAGAAGTTTATTTGTGATATCCCTTAAAAAATCTATTATTTTGTTATTCTCTTTTAATTTGTAAAGTGCGTTGCATGTTTCTATGTACATGATTACAAATAACTTTTCTTACAATGTTTGAGAACCTGTAATTTCATAAATCTGCAGCTACATTCTGAAGTATATAATCTGATATCCCAATTGCTTCTATTGTTCAGAATCACACTTATATTTTGATTTTTCAAGGGAATTGAAGGGCTTTTGGTTTTATTGAAAGTGATTTTTTTTTTTCAATTTTGGTGAACAGGATATTGCGCATACAACCAATAAGGATCTAAGTGCTGAAATACGCCAGCATGGGGCAGGACATCTTAATATATTAATGAAGATGAGGTATGTACTGGATATTTTTTGAGAAGTCTTGGACTATTATGTATATTCGATTTGATATGATAGGCCTTCTTCATGGGTCATGTCATGTAATCATTTTTAATGTTAGGAGCCTTGGAAGTTTGGACCAAGTGGTCTAGGTGGGGACACTGTTGTTGATGAAATCCGGAAATCTATGATACCAATGTACATAGAAGTATGCAGAATATTTTCCATACATTATAAAGGGAAATTCAACGGGCATTGGTTAAAATTGTTCCTCTTTTAAATTTTGAATACTGAAGATGAGCTTCTTTTATCTTCATATTGGTATTTCTAAGCATCCTTTGCTCCACTCTCATTGACAGGCACCAGATCAGCCATTTTGTATCTACTTTGCAGCAATATGTGGAATCACAATTATCACACATGTCATGGTGCAGATTTCTTCATTCCCTTCGGCACAAGGTTGAAGCCAACCGTTCTATTTGGCAGTTATTTATTTAGTTTCAAAGTATAAATTGATGCATTATGGTGCTTTGTAAGTAGCTCTATTTTCTGCACAAAATCGTTATTTTCCTTAATTGCTTATATAGTGTCCTATTAACTGTGGTCTCAGTTAAAATTTAGATCCGACTTTTACTTTCTATCTTTTGGGCAAGTTCACTGCATACAAGTAGATATACATGGGACATTCTTTTTACGGAGATTGTATTTTTTTATTTCATTATGGGAGAACTTGATATAAGACATACTTGATATAAGAAATACTTGATATAAGACATCCTGATCATGCACATAATTTCCCTAGGTTGCATTTAACTCATATCTCATTCCTAATCTAGTTCTACGGACACTAATAGGAATCCAATTCTAATCTTGTAAGGATCTAGGATTTTAGCTTCCTATGCTTTGGAACGGTTTCTGCTGGTTAGATTTAAATGTAGCAAGAGCAATTTGGGCGTGCAATTTATATACTGTCTGCTTTGGAACAGTTTCTCACTGCCCTTAATCTTTTAATTTTATTGGATAAGGTGTCTTTGGCCTCTTGGCAGTGTTCAGCTTAATGCTAAAGGTTCTTTGAAGGAAATGGGGTCGCACTGCTACCCTTTTTACCCCCTTCTCCTCTTTGTAATTTTATATATCTTATTAAGATTAAACTTTTATCGGATACCAGTAAGACCAACAATATTGTAAGAGACATAATGTTAGGCGGTTAAGAATTAACACAAATAAAGTAGGTGTGAGGATGTTGCATTAGATGTGTGGTAAGACTATACGAGCTAAAATTAGAAATGTCAATATTAGAGAAAGTGTTGGGGTAACACCTATATTAGAAAAGATGGTGGAAAATAGAGTTAGGTGATTTGAGTATGTAGAGAGAAGATATGTGGATTTTGTTGTAAGAGGAGTTGATCAAGGAGTCAAACAATTAGAGATAGAGGAAGACCTAGAAAAACTATAAGAGAAAATAAGCATGTCTTGGATAGAACATTATGGCGTAATTTGATTCATGTAGCCGACTCCACTTAGGTAAATAAATTATTGTTGATGTATTAAAATTATGGTAGCTAGGGGACAAATGTGAAGGATATTAGAGTAATTTTATCAATTAATATATCTTTAAATTTGTGACTTTTTCTTATAATTGGGAACAAAAACAATCCTAAACATTTTCTTAAAGTATTCTACCAGGCTAGATATGATGATCTATATGACTTTGAAATTCAATCACTATATCAATGTTTTGGATATCCCGTCATTCATGCAGGTGAAAGATATGATGGATCTAGAGTCTGTGCACATGGAATATCTTGCTGATTCGTTAAGAATGTAAGTTTCCATTCAATTGATGCTTATCATTTATAGAAACAGTTGATAGAAATTCAAATGTTATTTGCAGATGTTTCCTATCTGATGAAACAAAGGCAGTGGGCTGCATTATTGAGAGCATTTTGCAATGTGCACTTGATTTCCGGTCTTGTATTACGATAGGTGCCTGGGATATTGGAAACGATCGAGGAGACTTATTAGGAAAGCTTTCCACAGTGAATATATCCCAGGTAAAAAACCATGCATCACGTGTAGTTTTATGATTGATAGATACAATAAAATTTCTCCCAAGAATATAAGAGAAAACAGAAAAATTTAAACTTATTATCTTTTTAATAGAGAACAAATTAGATCTCACGATTTTTTTATCGTGTTATTAGAAAGTTGAATAAAATTTCACATTGTAATATCTAAGATTTTGTTTGGGAATTTGGAAGGAAAGGGAAAGGAGGGTTTCGAAGAAAGGGAAGGATTGAGTGAAAAGAATGGAAGGATTTAGGTGGGAGGGTTGAGAGATTTATTTTTATTCAAAAAATCAAAATTTCCTTAATTGGAGGAGGGGTTTGGAGGAAATTGAAGGGCTTAGACAAATTGTTAAAATATAATTTACGTTGTTACAGTATTTCAAAAATTAAAAATATGTTAATGATAACCATTCTTTTATCATTCTAGAAAAAATCTTTTGATTTTTCTATATTTTAAAAAAAAATCGTTTTCAAAGCACTGCCTTCCCCTCTCCTCCAAACTTCCTACAAAGAAGGTACAATATATTATTTTAAGAAGAAATAGTAAAATCCTCATAAACACAACAAATGGCCAGTATATAATTTAGTATCACCATCTTTATGTTAGGTTATATAATTTAATTGCACATGTATATTGCAACACATAAACCAATTATAATTTAGTGTGACACCAAAGGTTACAATATACATGTGCACCAAAGGTTAATTTAATTGCACATGTATATAATTTAGTGTGACAATTTGTACACATGTGCAATTAAAATGATGAGGATTAATTCAAAGGTTATAATTGGTTATGTGTTGCAATATAATTTAGTGCATGAGATTTTATATATTATAAATAGATAGATTTGCCAAAAGATCCTCTTGAAAATGGAACATCCTATCTTGAACATGTGGGTTATGTCATCAAATAATTGATCCTATACTCCAAGAAAACAATGGTACTGTTTCAATTTATTTGCAGGTCCTTTCCATAAAGCAGAAGTTCGATAGAAGTCTAAATGAATTGCACGTCTGCTATGTCAAGGAACCTAAGCATGTGAATTTTGGGCTTTCTCGTTTCTGGGAATATCTCAACTACAATGAATATTATTCGGATGTCAACAATGGGATGGGGTACTACTCTGTCTGATTTTTTCCAGCTGCGACTAAGAATGAAAATTTGCTTTGAAAGTTCAACATTGGTACGTGGCTAGGGTATAAGGTATGCAAAAAAAAACATTGAAAAAAAGGCATTGGATCTGTGTGACATGTCAGCAACAATATGGCCCATGAATTTGGTAACTTTAGGTTGAGATTATGTACATAGAGAATGTATGGGTTGTTACTTTCTCAATGACAACGTTACAATTTAATTTTGTAGAAAGAAAAGAAATGGAGAAAGAGAATACTGGTATCAATCAAATGCATCATATTCTGCTCTGTTTATGGTATAACATTATAAACTTTGATATGCTCCTCCACCACCCCATAATCACTTTGTTAAAAGAAGATGAAGTCATTCTTCATCCCATATTGCCGCCCAAATTGAATGTCATATCGCCTTTAGAAGTACAAATCATAAAGAAATATTTGAGAGATTAGGGGCATCACTAACACAATTCCTAGCTAGTGAAAGGAATACGGAATACTACTTTGTTTATTTTTTAATTGTTATTTTAAGATTATTTACAAATACCTATTTAATCAATGAATTTTGTTATTTTTCAAAGAAATATTTCTTTTCTCTGTGACACTTTTATCTATTTATTATCTCATACCTTTTTTCTCTCAGCAACAAATTATATAGAGATGATTTTTACCTAACAACAATTAACACAACTTTAAATAAATAAAAAACGACAAATAAAATAAACAATACTATTTTAAAGTTTGACACTTAAAAAAAACTGGAAGTTATGTTGAAAAAGAGAAGTTACACCATACAAATAGATTAAGACTAATCTCAATCTAATCCTCACACGAGGTAGAAATAGTAGCTGGTAACTCTAAAATCACTCCCCTCTTAAAACAAATTGGCCATTGTAGGGATTCTATCCCAACACAATTGCCAATAAAAAACACTGACTTAGGAAGGAGCATAACTCTTTCATTGTTTTCCAAGACCAAAGACATAGTTGAAAATGCTAGACTGATCAAGAAACTTTAATGATGATACTAGAGTAGGTAGATTTTAGCGAGAAGCTCCCTTTCAAACCACCTTGACAACACCCTCTATCCTCATGGTCGCAAGAAGTACACCTTCCTAAACAAACCTCTTTCTAATGTGTATCACCTAAATTTTTTTCAGTATCTTTAGGACTTTAGTGGAAAGATATGTAAATCTTAAATGCACAAATTGATTCTTAGAAGTCTCAAAACTAGTGACTAGAAAATTAAGATCATGGGGTGTCTGAGAAAACATTCACATTTTGACTCCTTTTTCGTGCACACGGGATAGACCTGTGTATGCAAAGTTAGCGTTCAATCCAATTTTATTAAGAGAATTTCTTATGGTATTCTATATAGGAAAAAAAACCCAATACAAAATCATAAATACCCTTCGAAAATGCATTTCCGGGACGCATCCTTCGCTTATCAATTTAGGTAAAATTTCGTTACACTCTTATATAATGTAAGAAACATACTAGAAATGTAATACTGGTGAAAAATCGGAGATACATATCTGAAAAATTTATGCGGGAAAAATAAAAAATATTACCACCTATAAATCGATATACATTCCCAGTTTATTCAGAGAATCCAAAAGCTTAAAACAACAAGGTCCATGGGATATTGATCATGCTCATTTCAAAAGTGTGACCAAAATACTCTCCAAAAAAATCCTCACACTCTCAATACCATTTTCACTCAAAATCAACATTCTTGTGGTGTATTATATCAAAAGGAGCTAAAGAAAACTGAATTTAAGGTAAAACTTCCTATTTTCAATCTATATTAATGTGTATTTTTGTGAAAAAATGTCACGTTAATATCAGATGTATATTTCCGATTTTCAGATGAACTAAATCGGAAATGTATTTCCGGTTCCTGAACCAGCTATTTTCAGCAACTTCATTTTCTTATTTGCCTAAGATATTTCTTAGTTTAATCTGTTTTTATATTATAGATATGGTGCATTCCGATAATTGTCCCAAAACTATTGTATTCAAGGTGTCTCGCCTATTCTTTTTCAAGGTGTTTCTCCTATTGTGTCTCAAGGTGTTTCGCTATTGTTGTTTCGTCTATTGTTATCAAGACGGTCGATGTGCCAAAGCATTTTATAAATGAACAAGAATATGAATTTTGAGATGTCATGATGCAGTGGATTCGTACGAAGGCCACCAAACAAGACTTTGGTGTTGTGATAGGAAGGTACGATAATGATTCGGGTAGACGACCTGCATTTGTAACATTGACATGTGAAAGAAGTGGGATATATAGACGGCCTATCAAGAATTTCAAAAGAGATGACACTGGTTCAAGAAAATGCCAATGTCTATTTAGGCTACGTGGGTATCAGTTGACAAATGATTAATTGGAGGTTCAATGTCATAAGTGATTTACATAATCATGATTTAACTGCAAACTTAGCCGGTCATTTTAGTGCATGTCGCCTCTTGGCGGAAGAGAATGAATGTGTGTTCGACATGACACTAAATTTGGTCGCTCCAAAAAGCATACTTGGCACGTTGAAATGCAAAAGACTTGATAATATTTCAAACATCAAGCAAGTTTACAATCAACGCTACCAAGTAAAATTGACGCTTAGAAGGGATCAAACCGAAATGCAACAACTCTTGAAGCTTTTAGATGATAACAACTACGTTTTTAGGTACCATAGACGTGAGGATGGAGTAACGGTAAGAGATATATATTGAACTTATATTGATTTCATTAAATTGTTTAATACGTTTCCTACCGTGCTTATAATTGATTAGACGTACAAGACCAACAGGTACAGGTTGCCATTGTTAGAAATTGTCGGTGCTACGTCGATTGAGATGACATATTCAATTGATTTTGCATTTCTAGAGTGCGAAAAAGAGGATAATTTTACATGGGCTTTAAAGGTTTATCGGTCAATATTAAAGGACCAAGAAAACATATCAAAAGTCGTTATTACCGACCGCGATACAACACTGATGAATTTTGTTGCGAAGGTGTTTTCTAGTTCTTCTACATTACTTTGTAAGTATCACATTACTAAAAATATGAGAAGTCAGGTAAAACCAGCGGTAAGGACGAGTCAGATTGAGATTGAAGAGGGTAAGATAGTTAAGTCGGGCGTTGTTGTGGAGAAAATTATGGCTACTTGGAATGTTATCATAAATGCATCTATCAAAGATTTATATGCTGAAGTTGTTATACATTCCAGGAAGGTGGGCGATAAATACCCCAATTTGTTGAAATACGTTGACTCTACAATTTTGGATCAAGTGAAGGAGAAGATTGTTTGTGCATGGACAAATCAAATTAGGCATCTTGAAAATACAACAATAAACCGAGTTGAATAAGCTCATGCACGTCTGAAGAATTGGTTGAGAAATATCATGGGTGATTTGTGTACGGGTTTGAAATTCGTGAACCAAATGATACTTAACCAGCATAATGAAATTCAAACATCATTTGGTCGTAGTATCACTATGTTGGAACACAGGTTCAAAGACAACCTTCTCTATTCTCAGTTGGTTGGCAACAATATCACAATCAACTCTTAATTTCATTTTTTATGAAGTCAAACGAGCCTCTGACTTAGGCTTCGATACCTCTAAGTGTGGTTGTACAATTGTGAAAACATATGGTCTCCCATGTGCTTGTGTCATATCTAAGAAGGTGAAACTTAATAGTACGATACGAATGGACGAAGTATGTAGTCATTGGAAGAGATTGAATTTGAAGACGACGTTACAATGGAAGACGGAAAGTCAAGTATCACAATCTTGACAGAATAAGAAGCGATACAAGAAAGATTTAGAAAAAGTGATGACAACATAAAACTCCACATCAAAGAGCAATTGAGGAAAGTTGCATTTCATAGACAACCAACTTGAAACCACCGTCTCAACCGATTGAAACAAAAGGAGCACCAAAAAGATCAAACCTACACCAAGTGAGAATTCTACTATGAGGAGTCCATCGTATTTTGAGAACGTTGACAAACTTTTTCACGATTCACCGACATAGAAATCTCAGAAAAAGGTCTTCAAAGGTGTTCGCATAATCAAACCTTAAATCCACTGCCTCCATCAAAAATACCGTTCATTGAGGAGATGTCGATTTTTATGCACAATCATATTGATGGAATCATCAATGTTCGCGGTGACGGTAATTGTGGTTTTCGGGCTATTTCTGCTTTACTCGATAAAGGGGAAAATGATCACTCACTTGTCCGTCAAACTCTTATCCAAGAGTTGAGGAGCCATAAAGATTTGTGCACACGGGTGTACGGGGATAAGAATAATTTTGAAGAAATCTATAACGCTCTTGTACCATCCATAGAAGCATTTGCACCAGAGAACAAATGGATGCGTTTCTCTGAGATGAGTCATCTCATTGCAAGTGCGTATACGATGGTGTGTATTAATCTTACAATACGATTTGTCGAAAACTTTTTTCGCATTGCACATTGCTCCAACATCTAATTCCACTAATCATATCATTTGTGTTGGGTGAGTTTCAAATCTCCGGCATTTTGTTCAAGTGTATTTGAAACCAGGATGTCTTATACTATTTACATCATCAGAGTGGACGAATCATTATACAAACCAATCCGAGACTTGGACAGACCAGTTCATTGAAAGGATGCAAAGAGTACACCAAATTGAAGAATATTAAAATAGCAAACAACAAGGAAAAGTCAAAGGGTGTACCACATGTGGATTTGTCAGGAGACAGTTACTTCAAATATTTTAAGTAGTTAAATATGACTTTGATGTATATGTCTTTTTGTTAATGAATTATGACGTCGAATATTCCCATTTTGGTAATGTATATGCCTATTATTATATTTTCATGCAATATGCTCTTTCTGTTATTTCTTTGTTTCTTATTTTTTAATACCAGGGACTTTACCGGAAATGTATTTCCGATTTTCAAGTTAAGGTGTAAACTAGAAATACATTTCTGATTTACATTCTGTCAACAGATATG